TCTCTGATTGGGACTGTTAACCTGGTTTTATTCCAGGGAATCCTGGCTGACAGATATGAACAGGGTGTCTGCTCAGTCTAGATGGAGACACTGAGCCAGCTGGGTCAATGTCATTTACTGTGCATGTGGAAATAAAGGGTGACTCAATGACAGGATACTGGTCTTCATGGAGTTATTTCACCTATCACTTGCCCATGGGTGAGTACAGTTCAATGACACTCAAGAAGTTCATCACAGAACACAGATATTTCCTGATTTGGTCTCCCTACTACCAAGATCAATTGGCCCTTACCTGCCAAGCTCCAGTGGGCACTGTTTGTTGTACATTCTATGAGATGCAGAACAGCTACTTACCAATGTTATTTTAACAGCACCACTTTACCTGAAACCAGGTAACGAAGAGCAGCAATGTTGTAGGAACACCACCATCTTCAAATGCCATTCTTCCCTCAATATCTTGAAAGTGTCAATCCAGCATTATTGCGAGAAAATCTTCTGCACATGATTCAAGGAGAAAGCCCATTCTAACGTATTCCTGGTAACCAACCTTGCCAGCACCATCCCCATCCCAAAGCCTAATGAAAAGTATAAAGGCATAAATGTGTCACGCATCGCTGAACACGTAAAATTCAGTTTTATAATAAAGTACACATTCAACATTGGTGTGCAGCAAAAATTATGTTTTTTATTGCACAATTATCGTTGGAACGTCCCACAAACAGTAAATAAAGAAAAATGTATTTTTTAAACCATTTGCAATCAAACAGCGATCAATATCAGACTGACTGATGTAAAAGAGTTGTGGGATGGAGCAATGATTCTAATTCCTGAAAGGTTGGATGACAAAGGGTCTCTAAATTCTGGTACAAATGCTCTGTCAATTTTAAAATTACAACAGAGCCCTCTTCTGCATCCCTCCCTTTCTCTTCCTCAATTGGACGTCTTGCACGTCCCATGAGATAGTCCCAATCTAGGAGCCTGAGCATTTTCTGCCACGTTAACATTTACCTCGTCTAAAAATAAAACAACGTGTCTATTTTAAATAGAATTCATTTTTTATTTTCTATTGTGGTCATTCCTTATGAAAAGTGGTTCAAATGGGAGTCATCAGTGGTGCTGTTTTTATTTATTACAGATGTAGAAAGAATACCCATGAGTAATATTTATCAGCATTATGCTTCCATGTGATTTAAGGAGCAGAACATACCCTGACAATAATTTTCTTTCAAAGTTTTCCCCCAATTCTTAGGTGGAAAGAAAAAATAGAAAAATAGCTTTTGTTTTTAAAATAAAAGCAAACTTCGAAATATATCCCAGGGACATCTGTCATTTCGAATCTCTGGCTGTGTGTGTATCTTGGACAATTTGAAGTATAAGTGTTTACAATAGTTAATTTGAACATTAATATTGCTATTTTGAGGGTATGCAATGGTTAGTTTGAATATTGGAAAGGTTACTCTGCTTGGTTAATTTGAGCTGTTGCTAATACTTACTTAACAACTTATTGTGAATTGTGTGAATGTCTCCTATTTTTAACTTGTGATAATTACATCAACTGTTTGTAATGACTAATTCAAGACTTTCTAACTGGTAGTTCGTGATCTTATGATTTAGACCTTGAGAGGTTTAGTGAGGAGCCCATAATAGTTTGAAATCTGACGAAAATCCAATGACTGCAAAACACTGAATGAGGCACTAGATTCACAGAATTTGTGATTCAGAAACTGTTGCTTTCACATATTTGTGCTCAACAAGGAACACTTAGCTATTGAGAGTACAATATAAACTGGCAAGCTGTGATCTTATCAATGCAGCACCTTGGAATAAACATGTGAAACAAGGCACAGTACACATGGTGCAAATGGTAGCATTCAAATGTGTATTATTTGTGGCACATGAGGGCATTATAACCTGCAGATCTAATACATATAGGCCCATTGTGGGGGGTGTGTTTACTATTTCATTTAAATAACTTCTCAGTTCTCAGTATTTAAAACAAAAACTCTCCTTATCGCGTTTTCTTACACCAATGGAACTTAAGTGTTAGTGCTTGAACTTAGCCACAAGAAGGTTTGAGAGATGATTCATTCGTTGCTTCTGCTTCTTCCTGTGAGGAAGCACTTTTTCTGCATTGATTGTTACAACTGAGATTGAGAACTTGACATCTTTGGGAATCACAGGCACAGACTATCACCTACCACTCCACTGAACAATGTATTGAAATGCCAATCTGCTATCTCCAGAGATGAGTAATCTATTTGGTTACCTTGTCCATCCATGGCAGACAAGTGAATATCAGCTCATCTCACCAATTAGCCCGGTTGCCTTGCACAGAGCAGTAGTTTTATCTGCATGAATAGTGGACTGGTCATCAACTGCGCACTGCAGGTGATACAAAGAGGATTCATATCATTACCTGCAGACCTGAGATTCGATTCGAAAATCATTATCGGAATGAATTATTGTCAATTCTATTGTTCCTCCTGCTTTCATTTTTGCAACAATGATGCCAAAGTGAACAGCAATTATCACTGCAGTTGATATCACTGCTGTAATATTTTTCATTATCAATGTTTTCATTTAAACTGGTGCATGCCCTTACATTATGTGTCTAAACACACCCAATAAATCTTGTCTGACCAGCAGCTGAATGCTCCACTTGTCAATGAGACTAATTGTCTCTAGAACACATAGAGATAAACCCCAATTAGGCAGGTAATTTGGTCCATGCAGTTCATCCTGCCAAAGCACCCACAATCTCCCGGTCATGAACTTGTCTGTAACCTGATTAAAATTGATGCTGCAATCTGTCATTGCACTCTAAAAGAAATTGTGTTAGGCTGCAGCTTCTTTAGACACATACTGTATTCAACTAGAAGATGGAATGATCTTAAAACAATATACCTTATAAACATACCATATTAGATAACCTCTTTAGATAACTTCTTCTGGCGTTTAACAGTCTAACTTCATCAGATGAAAATCTTCTTCAAAACTCTCAACAATCTTCAAAATTGTCCTTGCTTGTGCTTTTAGCAGAGAATCAGATGGCAAATAATAACAAATTAAACTACTACTTGCTATTGTTAATCTAAATAGAACTTATAGTTAAGTCAACATATTCATGACTTCACATCTTCCCAAGACCAAAGCTGGCATTGAGCAGACCATACAGGATTAAGACTTTTCTCATATTTGCAATTCAGTGAAAATTGTAAAATCTGATGCTTCTACATCAGAAGCAATGCGGCATAAACATAACTTCTGTTTTAAAAGTACACTGTGAGTGTCTGGGTTGTTGCTTTACAAATTTATCGACCGCCCACAAATTATCTTGGCTAAAAGTAGAGGGTAGCAAGCCTCATCACAACTGTAATGGGAAAGAGATTCTGTAACCTTAATGATTTTATATCCAAATCTCTTGAAAGATTGGAACATTCTCATTTCCAGCTGACAAGCTGTGAGGGCATATACCAATGCACTGAAAGCTATTTCTAACTCAGCTGTGGTTGAAAGGAGCACACATCAGGGTCATCGGCTTATAATTCCTGAAACAAGTTCATTCTGCTTTTGTTACACAGGAACTTGGCCAGTCTTTTAATGAATTTTGCTTTTGCTTCATTTTCTGCGATTTCAACCATTTATAATTAGGGTAATTGGTTCACGTTTGCGAATAAGTCACATCTGCTTTGTGGGATTCTGCTTTTGGACGGTGACTCATTACACCGTAGCTGGTTCTGTTTCTGGATAAAAGCGGCAACCAGTGACTTTTACAAGAAGAAAGCCTTTCGGTATCAAATAAAACGATCAGTCACCCCCTCATGGCAGCTGCTGCCTTATATCGTCAGTACCCTTTGTAAAATAGTGCATATATACACGTATCTATATAATATATTTTGTTTTCCTTTTGTTGTTTAAAATGCTTTTTTATTATAACAACAAGACTGAAAAGTTCTGCATGAGGCAACTGTTAAAATTTGACATCAGAAAATACACACAAACACACTATGTAGCAAAGAATTAAAGGTCACCAAACTTTGGTTAGAACTTGAAGCCAGAACCTGTCTGACCAATGCAAGCTTCAGGAGGTAGACACACATGTAGCTGGAACATCAGTTATTATTGGGTTTTCCATCTGTCTCTCTTAATGTTTATTTACCTAAAATAAAGTTAGACCCATTTACATTTACACTTAGACAAGTATATATGCATGTGTGTATACTATATGTATACCATAGATATACACGTGCACTGTATACGTATATATACATATGAGTACCAGTAATGCATATATATATGGATTGTAGATTAGCCAAGTCAATGAAACATGGCGAGAAGCTTTCCCTTTGATACCCAGCCTTATGGGTTCGTAGTGTAATATCACTTTAAATAGATTAATTACATTTTAAAAAATATTTAATAATGTTAATCCCTAACCTAATGGACAATAGGAAAAAATGGAATTGAAGGATTCTGGCACAATGGGCCTCCTTCTGTGCTGTGTTGTTCTACGATTCTACTTCTAGCTAACTGTAAAAGGTGCGTGCATACTTGGCTGCAAACTCTTCAATCAATCAGGGATCGCTGTTTCAACCACAAATGTAGCTTTTCTGTCTTTTTCTTGTGCAATAGTTAAACCATTGAGATTCCCGGTAAAGTGGGCGACAGAAGTTGGTATTCTTTTTCCTCTCTCCTTGTTTTTTTTGCTATTGTCAATGTCTTCATAATTTGCCTCCATGCATTTCTTAGGAAACAAGTAAAAACACAATGATCTGTGCATATCAGACAATCAGGGTGGGGATGGAGGAGGAGGGGGAGGAGGGTTTGTTTAAAAAAAATGCACAGACATTCAGTTGCTCAGGCATGTCACACCCTGGATCTTTGCAATATCTGATTTTTTTTTAAATATTTTGGCAAATCTTTGATTATAAATATTGGAATCAGTAAAAAAAGGTAGCTTGAAATCGAACTATTTACAGCCTTGTACAGACATGCGGTTGTTATACCAGGGTGTAGGATTTTGCGTAAGGGTTGTTCCCTTGTTTCAAGTGACCGCGATTGTCCAGTAGCGATTCTTGGGAGCTGCTCAATTTGGCAGCTTTGCCACGGTCTGCTCCCTCCCTCTGAGGTAATGTCGACGCGGTGCTTGATTGCCATTGCTGTGTGTCCCTGGTAGCTACTTCCACTGGGATTGGCTCCATGACTTGTGTGCGTTTCATGGTGTTCCTTCTCTGTGGCTCCAGACAGGCATGACCCTGACCAAGGTCTCTGCTCGGACCTGCCACTCCTCTGTGAATCAGGAAGTCCACCCTTAGGTATGGCGGAAGATGCATAAGGTCACCTGTGTAGACAATCACAACTGAATCATTCCTCTACATATAAGAATGTCACAAAATCATGAAACCTCACAGAAAAAGACTATTTGGCCTATGGTGTCTATGTTGGCTCTTCCCAAGTGTCTTCCAATTGCTCCTAATTCCCTATACATTTTCCCTGAAATTTTCTTCACTTCAAATAGTGATATAATTCACTTAGGAAGGTTAAATCTCCCTCCATTACTCCTACAGAATCATAGAGTTGTACAGCACAGACACAGACCCTTCAATCCAACAAGAAGTCAGTAGGCCCTTTTGCTGAAGTGGAAACAGTTTCCGAATTACAGAGCTACACTGTATGTGCCGAGTAAACTGACCAGCTACTTCAGAAATGCTGACCAGATATACTAAATTAATCTGGTTCCATTTGTCAGCATTTGGCTCATATCCCCCTAAACTCTTCCTATCATGTACCCATCCAGATGCTTTTTAAATGTTGTAAATGTACCAGCCTCCACTATATCCCCTGGCAGCTCATTCCATACATGCACCATCCTCTATAAGAAAAATTCGTCCCTTAGGTCCCTTTTAAATCTTTCCCCTCTCACCTTAAAGCTATGCCCTTTAGTTTTGGACTGCCCTACCTGGAGAAAAAGACTTTGGTTATTCACTCTATCCATACCCCTTGTGATTTTATAAACCTCTATAAGGTCACCCCTCAGCCTCCGACACTACAGGGAAAATAGCCCCATCCTACTGACTCTCCCTGTAGCTCAAACTCTCCAACTCGGCAACATCCTTGTAAAACTTTTCTGCACCCTTTCAATTTTAACAACATCTCTCCTATGGCAGGGAGACCAGAATTGACACTGTATTCCAAAAGTGGCTTAACTAATGTCCTGTATAGCTGCACCATGACATCCCAAAGCCTATACTCAATGCACTGACCAATAAAGGCAAGTGTACCAAATGCCTTCTTCACCACCCTGACGACCTGTGACTCCACCTTCAAGGAACTATGAACCTTCACCTCAAGGTCTCTTTGTTTGGCAACACTCCCCAGGACCCTACCATTAAGTGTATAAGTCCTGCCCTGATTTGCCTTTCCAAAATGCAACATCTGACATTTATCTAAATTAAACTTCATCTGCAACTCCTCAGCCCATCGTCCCATCTGATCAAGGTCCCATTGTACTCTGAGATAACCTTCTTCACTGTCCACTACTTTTCATAACAGATAACAATAATTCTGCATTAAATTACATAAAATAATTTCTTCTCACCTCTTTCTCTGTTTTTTGCTCACTAACCCTTATACCTGTGTAACTAATCTGCTCGACAGATTTTCACCACCAATATTAAACACTCTCTGCTCCCAGGAGAGCAGTTCCACCTTCTCTTGTCCTTCTTTATGACTGACAGCCCTCCTCCTGTTATCATTCCAGTAAATCTCCTCTTTGTTTGTTACAAGTTCTTGACAGCCTTCACAAAGTACAGTGCCCAGAATTGGAAATTATGCTTGATCTGAGGCCTAATCGGTATTGTACAAATGTGAGCATTTGAGTTGCCTTTTATAGCTGTTACGATTTCATTCCCATGGCGTTTGCATGCAGGTATTTTCTATGCAATCTGTTCAGAAATTTTACAACACACGTCTGGAGCAGCTGGGACTTGAACCTGGGTCAACCGGCTCAGACGAAGGGACACTACCACTATACCACAAGAGCCCTTGATAAGGCTGAAGAAGTCAGTAGGCCTTTTTGCTAAAGTGGAAACAGTTTCTGAATTACAGAGCTACACTGTATGTGCCGAGTAAACTGACCAGCTACTAGTTACTAATGCTATATTTATATTCAGTTACCTCGGAGTTCAATAACCAGTGCCAAACTGTGGTGTACTATTGTCGGAGGATAGACTGTTACAACTTACCAACCCTGTCAGCACCCCTGGGTTCTGTAGTCTCTTGCAGCAGTGACTTACCTGAGACATCCTGCCATCATGCTTGATGTTGCTACCCCACTGCCACATGAGGCATTAGAGTGGTCAAATAGGGACCATTTAAGAGCCTCATTCCACCATCCTGGGAATTAACCCCATTGCAAAGCGGTCTGTCACAAACATGAAAACAAGTAACAAGAGCAGACCACTCAGCCTTGGAGCCTGCTCCACCGTTCAATAAAATCAGGGCTGATCTGAGTTCAACCTCAGCCCTACATTCTTGCATAGCTCTGATAATCTTTCATCCCCTTGTTAAGTAAGAATCTATCGCCCTCTGCCTTAAAAATATTTAAAGGTTCAGCATCCACTGCTTTTTCCAAAGATTCTCAATCCTCTGAGAGAAAAGAAATATTTCTTCAAATTGGCAAAATGTTGAGCGAAGTGTTGGTAGGGACTTGGGGTAGAGAGAGAGACAGAATGAGAGAGGGACAGAGTGAGAGAGAGATAGAGGGAGAGAAAGAGAGAGAGACCCATTGACAGCCAAAGCCTTGCCCTTGGTTCTGGCCTCCTTGTCCATCTCTCCCTGTTTCCCCTATCCTGTGATCACATTGCACCAACACCTCAATACTTTTAGTTATAGAACGATTGGTGTGGATGTTCATACTAACGGTTTGCCATAGAGGGCTACAAAGCAGCAAGCTTATCACTCCTAACCACATGCTGTGCGCAATTAAGCAAGTAAAATAACATTTGCTGAAGGCATAATAAAAGCGAGATGCACATCACTTCACAGTTCCAACATTTCAACTCGGAAAATGTCTGAATAAAAGATGAAGGAATGATATTAGCAATTAAAAGCAGCTAACTGTCCACAAAGTATCTGAATACAATCCACCTCATGTATTTTTCACCGGTGCTGAAGATCCCATTCTCGCTCCCACCCACCAATGTCCCAACATGATACTTTCTAGTGAAATGAACACAAACATTTCAGAAACCTTTCAGCATCAATCTGGTGTGGATAATTAGCACAGTGTCCTGTTTCCAAAAGAGTAAAAAGACCAGTTGTTTGCTGGCTGCTTCTACATTAAAGGTAAAGGACACTCTCCAAGCAAGATCTATCATTCTTAAACACTTATCTACAGAGTTTTCTCAAAAGAAATCCTTTATTATAGAGCGTTACCATTGGACCTTCTAGATCTGTATCCCAGTTTTGGGATGTTGGTATTTCAGGGACACAGATCTGTATCCCAGTTTTGGGATATTGGGATTTCTGGGACAGAGGTCTGTATCCTAGTGATGGGATATCAGGATATCTGGCACATAGATCGGGATCTAAGTATTGGAATGTCAGGATATCTGGTACCTGGATCTCTATCCTAGTGCTGAGGTGTTGGGATATCTGGGAGAAATGTGCAACAAATGGAACTGGAGTCTCCTGTGAATTATCTCAATCTGTGAACATGATTGCAGAAATGGCAGCAGCCTGGACAAGAGATATGTTTTGTGCCTTCCCCTTTCGACACAAGAACAGGGATTAAAAGCGAGTATGTGGATAGCTGGAGAAGTTGTGCTCATAATCTCAGGTGCTTGTGTGTGCCAGGGGGTTGGGCTAACTGTGTGTAGTAGCCCGGGTTTGGGTGCTACAGTGCAGTGAAGGTCACAGTTGAAGAACAATCCAATAACCACCCTTGCATTGTAGGTAAAGGACTCTATTGCTCTGAGTGCTAAAAGCCAACTATCCAGCAGACCAGTTAAAAAGAATAGGACAAAAGAAGAACTCGTTCGCTTTAATGTGCTGCTGGCCAGCCACTGTTGAAAGGAAGCAGGCCAAAAGAATTTTAACAAATCTGCAAAGTCAAAAATTCAAAAATCGACTGCTTAACTATCAACATTCCACTATCCACTCTTCACAAACAACGCAGGGACTGAACTGTAAATCTTTTAACTTTTATCTAGTTTTAGACTCACTTCTCATTTCTAATCTGTGACCATGTGTGTTGATTTATTTTTTCTTCTTGAGTTTAATAAACAGCTTTTGTTGACTGAAGAAAACCTGATTGTTTTGGTTCCTTCATATGGGTCTAGGAGGAACGTATCTTCAAGGGAAGGTATCCTTTCTAAATTAAACTTGTTGTAATCCCATGAAGGGGGCAGGAGAATAAAAGAGGGGAGCCACTACATCCATCTAGGCCTGGGAGTTTATTATTTTGAGATATCCCATCTGAAACCAAAATGAATTGCGAACCTCAATCAGGATTGTGATGAGATGCTTAGATTTTTCTCAAGAGAAAGGAATTCAGTAACTTGAACCTGTTTGCCATTCAGTCAAATCACTGTTAATTTGCCCCTCAACTCTCCTTAACCATACAAATTCCACATCCTGTATCTCTCAAAAATCGATCAATCTCTGTCCTGAAAGCTCTAACATGCTGAGCATGTACAGTCTTCTGTGGGGGGCAATTTCAGGTTTTCAAAACTTTCTGTGTAAAAGAACATTTCCAGATTTGTGCCTGAAAGCACTAGTTCAAATTCTAAGATAATGTTCTCTTTGTTTTGCTCTTTGGGAGGTGATGGCAAAATGGATATTGATGCAGAGCTAGGATTCCAGAGAGGACTTTTGTTCGAATCCCAGCATGCCAATCAGTGAAAATTTGAATTTAAAAATATCTGGAATTAAAGTCAAATGATGACCATGAAACCATTACCTACCATCCCACCAGCATCCACATCCAGAAAATCATCGGATGCCATTTCTGCCACCTCCAGCGTGATGCCACCACCAGACACATATTCGCCTCCCTTCCCTTGTTCACCTTCCGCAGGGACCATCCCCTTTGGGACACCGTGGTCCACTCTTCCTTCATCCTCAACACCTTCCCACCTACGGCTCCTTCCCCTGTAACCGGCGAAGGTGCAACACCTGTCCATTTACCTCCTCCCTCCCCAGTATCCAAGGGCCCAATAATACCTTCCAGGTGAAGCAACACTTCCCCTGCACTTCCCAGAATCTAGTCTACTGCATTCACTGCTCACAGTGTGGTCTCTTCTACACTGGGGAAACGAAGCATAGACGGGGTGACCACTT